TTTTTTTTTTTGTTTCATCATATTCTACATCTGTTTTTCTTATTTTATATTTCATTCTTTAAATTTAAAAATGTCGAGTTGTCGTGCTGATGGTCGTGCTTAGAGATCCATACATGAAATTAAAAATATATGCACATCTTCTTCGAGACCTCCATTGTCAGAATTTGCGAGTCCATCGATACATGTGGATGTTCCCGGTGTAGGCGATGATATTGATGACTCAATGATCAATCACATGTTTGTCTCAATTCAGCCTGAGCAGCAGCAGCCGTATCACGACCATGTGGATAATCTATTTTGAGGGACCCCGAGCCTAAGCTATAGATGCAGCCGGACCCCGCCTCTGTCTTCGGCCGTGGCAGACTGGGATATGCCATGTTTGAACGACATACACGAAGACTCTCAGTCTGGAAAGAGGTAAGAATCACTTTTTTGCTGTTTACAACTACTGCCTGCTCAACTCGAAGAAGAAGTGCCATTTCAAAAAAGGCGATAGATACATATCCTTGAACCGGCACTTAAGGGTTGCCATCTGACAAAATTTGGGAATTGACACGGCACAGACCGTCTAATAGGCCAAACTAAGGAATTAGATGAAATATTATTATTATAAAAACCACACGTGGATTTGGCCAATGGCCTAACGGAACTGGGTAGTTTGGGCACTTGGACAGTACGATCTATAGTTCGGGCACTTGGGCAGCCCATTCGGACATGCTTGGATACCACCCCTATGACAACCCAAATTCTACAAACTCTAAGTGCATGCAAAGTTTACATATATACTGATCATCTTCTTCACAACGGTTTACTGACTTGATCGTCAGAGTGATAATGTTGGGAGCACCTACTGGCCCATTTTGCAAGCCTTTGAACTGGACGTGAGCAAATCCAAAGAAGTGTTTCATCCAGCACACTAGACTATAAATACAAATATAGATATATTCTTATGATTATTAGATGTATAAATTAGTGATTCTAACTAAGATCAATAAAAATAATATAAAATGATATCTTATAAGTTTATTTTTGGTCATCATAAATATGTTACATTTCAATGATAAAATAAAAGTTTACATTTAAAGCTATTAGATTGTAGCAAGAGTCGTTATAGAATATATAATTTTGTAACGAAAGTTAAAATTGTCATAAATAGGACACTGTTCAAAAACAAAAACAAAATTTACATTTAATAAATGCTGAATTGTGACCGAAGTCATTGAAGTATTTACTTATGTAATGAAAAATAAGTCTCATAAATAGGATATTTGTTTTAGTGAAATAAATTTGTTACTTTTAATATAAAATTGTGGTGAATTTATCGTTAATATGTACGATTGTGATGAAAATTAAGAGTTTCATAAATAAACTGATTTTTAATGTCAAATATAACCAACGAAAACTTCAGAATTGTGACAAAATATCACTCATCGTAACAATATTTGTCATAAAATATGTATTTAATGATACAAATGAATAATGTCATAAATAGAATATTTTCAGTGACAAAAATAGAAATTAACATTACTGCACATCAAACTGAGATGAATAATTCTTTGTTACACAAAAAAAATGTCATATAAAGTGCATTTAGTGACGAAGTAAACATTGTCATAATTTGTATTTTTTTTGTGAAACAAATAAAATGTGTTATTTTTATTTAAATAATTATAAGAAAATTTAATTCATGTAAAAAAGATCATCACAGATATAGAATTTCTTGTAATGATTTGTATGTTTTTCACCTTCAATATATATTCGAACTCTAGGATCTTATATGAAACTGATATCTTGAAACAATATTTTATTTCTTCCCACATTTCTTCTAGATCGTGAAGTTTATTTTTTTATTTCCAATTGGTTTTTCATTTGTTAGTTATTTTTATTTTTATTTTTTTTCAACTCATCATGAAGTTCCTTATTTTATTCATATGTGGTGTTGATGATCGATGATGAATCTTAATTTATCTTTCTTTTTAGTTTGTAATTTCTCACACCCAATAGGTCTTCGGATGGAGAGAAATTTATCCGTGTCGTCCAAGTTTAAAGAAAATGAAGAAATGCCCAAGGATGCTTGCACGACAAACTCAACGGTCGGGTTTTTTGACTCCAAAGAGGGATAATGACCAGATTATTTTTTTTTTTATTTTTTTTTTGCTTCTCATAACACCGTCATTATTTTTTAAAACTTCTTAATAATATCCCAAGTGTGATCGGAATTCTTCCACGATTTGAATTTGGAATCTTTGTGACCAGTATATTTCTTTTGAGCGTCTACAAGTTTTTAATACTTACTGTATTTTTATTTGAAACATCACTTTGCTGCAATCTTTTTTTCTTTTATGCATGCACGAAGTTTTTTGAATTCTTTCTCGAATCTTTTAATTCTTGTTTACATAGATTTCTTGGTATGAACCTCCCAATACTACGAGACAAAAAATGATTGGATGATTGATACACTCCCATAATTGGGTACTGAGACATTTCCGTAGAAGTACGACATAAAAGGATATCTTCATTGTGGTTGTAAGAAGATGAACAGATTGACATGCCTATAAGAAGTTAAATGTGATAAAAGCATGTCCTACAGAATAAATGTTTCACTATGTAGCTCTTGTAACAACATATCTTCTGTACAAGTAGAGACAAATTCTACAAAGTTATATACAAGTTCCTCCTTCCCTCCCCCCCCTTTATATTTCTTTAATTGGATTTATAGTGAAAGTATAACATTGTTCAATGTTTTAACCCGAAATTACCACTTTATGAAAAGTTTTTTGCACTTCTCCACGTTGTGGTCCCATAATAATCATTTTGTGCAAAGACCCTCACGTATTTAGGCTATGTTTGGTAAAACTACCTGATAAGCTAGATTATAGCTTATAAATATTTTTTGAGCTTATAGCTTATGACTTGTAGCTGAAAAACTAACTTATATGATAAAAGTGTTTGGTAAAATTAGTTGATAAGCTAGCTGAAATAATAAATTCAATGAGCTTATTTGAAAAACTACCTAAAGAAGCTTATGAGATAAAATCGAGCTTTTTATTAAAG